TGCTCTGTTTAATTTGAGCAGGGGTATTTTGGCAGCCTGTGTTTCCACTGCCAGCACTATACCCTCCCCAGACGCCCCTTTCCATCATGTCCATTCCCACCTGAGCCCATCCCTCTGTTTGCTCCCAGCTGCTCCAAAATCAGGAAACCTGATGGAGGTTAACAGGCTCTGATTTTGCTTGGAGGGTAAAACAGACACACAGGTTGGGTAAAGGCAGCCCCATGCCACCAGGGCCCCAGCACTGGTCCTGTACAGCCAGCCAAGCCAAAACCAACCACGGCACAAAACCACCAGGGACTGCACATTCAGCAAGAAGCCTCATTTGCCAGCCTTATCACATTTATTTGTGATAAAGGAGCCCTCGGTGTGTCAATGCTTCGGCATGACATAAAATAAAAAATTCAATATCATGAATAAAAAAATAAATTAAAATAAAATAAACAGAAGGCAAAGCCTGCTGCAGAATTAGGTTCAGCAAATTGAGCAGGAGCTGCTGGGGGAGGTACAAGGCTGGGAGCAGGAGGGGAGGGTGTGAGAGACCTGGGCATACCTTGGCACCTATCACCGTGCTGGTGATGCCCAGCACCATTGGGCTGTGGGGCTCTTCCATGAGGTCACAGCCCTTCTGGAAATGTGGGACGCATGGATGGACCCTGCTCATCTGCTAGCAGCACACAGCCACCTCCCTGCTGTGTCTTAGAGAGAAAAGCAATTTATCTCAGCTGCCCAGGCCTGAATTCCCCCGTTTATGTCCTCTCTTGATCCTAATGGGGACTCCAGACATGCAGGGAGTCTCTACACTGTGCCCATCCCCTCCAAGTAACACTGAAATCATCCAGGGCCAGGCTGGAGACATCCTCAGGAGCTGGCAAGAAACATCTCATCACCTCTCCCTGGATGGGCTGTGGGACCTGGGAGGAAGGTGAGCACTGGGGAGGAAGGCTCCTGTCTCCTGATGCACCCCTGCTCTTGCAGAACAACACCCAGCAAAGCCAGGCTGGACCACAAGATGGGTCTTACCTTCCCTGGGTGCTCTGAGCAGCTCTCACCCCCTCCCCTTGCTGCAGCCCCTCAGTTTGCTGAGGAGGTGGGGAGGGAATGCACAGAGGGGTCCGAGACTGCTCCAGGCTCACCTGGGCAGCAGGAGACCACAGCATCTGGCAGTGATTTCACTGCAGCCAGCTCACCACCAGCAACAATTCAGGAATTAATAGAGCCAGGCTGGCAGGATGCAGGAACATCATCCATTTAGTGTCATATTGCGAGACTTTTAATTACTGGGGGAATATGGAGTCATGTAATGATTACAAGAACAAATACTTAAAGTGTGTGGAAATTAACTGAGCCTTGGCAGTAATTAAGCTTGAAGATTAATCAGTCCTTAGCAAATAACACCCTTTGCAGGCTAACCACCATGTAGGGGAGAGGGATGACCAGGGATGCCAGTGCTGCAGACCCCAGCCTCCCCCTCTGCCATGTCCCTGTGGGATGGGGTGGGCAGGGGCAGCCCAGCTCCTGGAAAAGGGCTTCTCCAAACCCCAACACTGCTGGGTTACGGTGCCAGCTTGGGTCAGCTGCTTCAGACCCCTCCTCCCCTCCCTCCCAAGTGCTTCCCAGAGAGAGATCAACACTCCCCCTGCAAACTGATGTTTCCCTTGCCCAGTAAACAGCTCTCCAGGAGGCTTCCATAAGTGCTCCTAATTTCCTTTCCCTCTGATGATTTACGAGGGTTGCATTCAATTAACAGCAGTATTGATTTTCCCGCAGCTGACTGGCAGGCTGCTCGCCCTCGTTAGGGAATCCATCCTTCCCTTCCCAGCATGGGCAGGATGCAGACAGAAGGGAGCCCAGGCAAGGCTGGAGAAGGGAGCAGCAACACCTGGGGCTCACAGGTGCAGCCTATGTCCTTATCCCAGTGTGTGACATCCCACACAACTGTTGGGCAGCTCTTCTAAGGGGGAGAAAGTTGGAGTGGGACATTTGGGATTTCCAAGAGTTTTATCTAAAGCAAGGGGCCAGAAATGGAGGCATCTGTGGAATATTCAGTCAGACAGCCCTTAACGGAGCAAGATTTTGGAGCAATGTTCAGCTTGGAAGGCTGGGAGGCTTTCCAAGGCAGGTCATTAATTCCACCCTGTATATACAGACTTTTCCTTGCACTTTCCAAGGGGTAAAGCCACCCTGAGCCTCTGCTGGAGTTGTACAGTGCTCACAGGTTATTCCATAAAGCTCAGCAAAGCCTTCACCTCCTTCCTCTCAGCTGGGGCTCTGCAAAACCCAGCCCACCTGATTCCATTGGAGATCCAGCCTTAAGCAGGAGAGGACTTTGTAAAAACAAGCATTAATCCACTTTTGGGCAACTGGAACCGCAAAGCCCACGCTGGCAGCTGTGCTGAGCGGGAAGAAGACGAAGGCAGCAGCCGTGCCAAGCAGGGACGCTTTGAAGACTAAAATCCCTTTGAAATTAACACCCCTTAATTGTATTATCTTTCCCTGACAGCCTCAAGTCGGTCACTGGTGATCAAAGAGACAGAGACATGGAGGGAAGGAGACAAGCCCTTGGAGGAATCCCGGGATCCTAACAAGGAGCAGCACTCGGGGGTTTCTGTGGGGCTGATCCAGGCCCAGGAGCCATTGCTGGGTCCCAGTGCAGCTGGAGGTGCCCAATCCCCCCTCAGAACAGGGGTCCCCAGGACTGCAGCTGGTTACCCTCAGAGGGACAAGGACCTCAGCAACCAGACTCCACAGGGTTTCACATCAGCTGCTTTTGGATTCCTCCTGGGATGCTCAGCTCAGCTCCAGAGAGCACCCAAAGCTGTGGGATCAGCACAGAGCCAGGCTCTGCTCAGAGCAGACAGCTCTGTACCCTCCCAGCTGCCTCACACACCCCTCAAAGGGCAGCAGGGACCAGGACGAGCCAAGAAATGTCACTCTGGATGAGGCAGCACGTGTGGCAGAAGAGGTGGAGCCACTCAAACCTGCTGAGACCCAGAAGAGCTGTAACACTTCCAACACATCCACATCCCCTCTGGCCACAGCCCTCAGCCAGACCCAGGGCTGCAGAGAAGGAAGGGAGCACTCAGGAAATGCTTCCCAAGTGTTGGCAAATGCTGCCAGTGCTTCATTAGGGACTTTTCATTAGGGACATTTGTCACGGTGAAATCCCACCCACAAGAAACTCCCCCGTGGTGGCTGCTTCACCTGGAGATGCTCTGCCCCATGAGCAGATCTTCAGAGGCCAGGTGAGAACAAGGAGAGGAGACAGACGGGGTTGGATGCAGAATCAAGTGAAGAGAATTGATTTCTCTTTAGGGGTGATTTATAAGGAGCAAAAGGTGATAAACCCATTGCCCCTGACTTTCCATTCCTGAAAATTAAGACATCTGTAATCTCAACCACTCAGGCCCATCTGAGCACACACACAAAACCTGAGGCTCTTTTGATGTGGGTCCATCAGCTCCCATCCTCTCTGGTCTCCAAGTGATGGTCTCAGAGTCATCACTCACACAGCAGATCTGAAACACCAAATCCTCATCTGCAGCCACTGCTGCCAGCCCACAGAAAAGCTTTCATCTCTTGGCTCCTGGTGTAGAGAAACAGCCACCACCTGAAATCACTGGTTCTTTTAACACAAGATCGGCCAAGAAAATCACTAAATGTGAGCAAGGGTCTTCCAGTGGCTGGCTGTAACAATCCTGTCCACTCCTCTCTGGGATTATTGGTGATCTCATTCTCTTGGGTATCAGCCAACCTCAGAACAACAAAATCCCCAGCACCTACCATGGCTGAGGCAAATTATATTTTCTCAGTGCTGGAAATGATGCTACATAAAAGGCAGGACCACGCACTCCACGGCTGCCTGTGCAGCTCTAACTCAGGTGTGCAGGTACTGTGGCAGAGCTCAGCCTTTAATTACAGGCTCACTTACTCTGTTTTCCATTACAGGCACAAAAGAGGCTCGTGAGGAAAGCAAGGCAGAGGGATGGAAATGCTGATGGGAACAGGGAAAAGCACAGTGATGGCAGGAGGTGGAGGTGGGAATGTTATGTGGATCCACAGCTCCTGTGCTGTCAGCACAGAACAGGGCAGGGGTGACCCCTGCATGTCACATCCCTGCCATCCACCTCTCCTGTGTCACCCGAGGCTCCACCTGAGCAAAATCCACACTGGCATCTTTTCCACACTGCCAAGTTTGTCTCAACTGTGGTTTTTCATCCCTGCCCCCCCATCACCGGTTACTATTTGTGCAGCTCTTGGCCTGGCACTCAAATTAGTATCAATGGATGTTCAAAGGCTCCCAGAGCACAGGGAAATGTCTCTCTAGCTAATCAGTGTGCCACGACAGGAAGGTTTGATGGCATCTCTCCTGCTGCCAGCTGAGATGTGCATCACAGGGAGCCAGGGCATCATTTTAAGCCCTTCTGCACATTTTAAACCTTGCTCAATTCCAAGGCTGAGCACATCAGCCCTGGATTCCAAACAACCACCAGCTCCACGGGAGGAGTACAGGGACAGAGCAAGTGTCCTGAGCTCAGGGAGCACATCCCACACACACCAGGTGCTGCTCCAGCCCTCGGCAAGTCCCACCTCCAGCTGCACCACAGCACAGCAGTGCAGACACTGCCACACTTGCAGCTGCTTCAGGAAATCATGGAATCATAGAATAGCCCAAGTTAGAAGAGACCCATAAGGATCACTGAGTCCAACTCCTGGCCCTGCACAGGACAGCCCCAAAAATCACAGTGTTCCTGAGAGCATAGTGGAAATTCTTCTTGATCTCTAGCAAGCATGGGGTTGTGACCACTAATCCTAAAAATCACAGTCAGTTCAGAAATCCCAAAAGAAAAGGTTCCAGACATGGCAAATGAGACTAAAAAAGATCTCCCCAAGCCCCATGTCCCACTGAGCCCCACCACCCTCACAGAGCAGCTCAGCACGTTGGGGTGTTCCGCTCCTGCAAAGCCCCCACACCCAGCACTGCTCCACAGGGTCTGACTGACCTGTCCAGAGGGAATCGTGCTTCATCCCCTTTGTGGAAGTCAGTGCTGTTCTCCAGCCTGGCCAGGATGTCCATCCTCTTCATCAGCACCTCCAGCATGTCGCTCATCCTCCGCAGCAGCCCTCGGGACTCCAGCGCGCCCATCACTGCGGCACACAGAGAGCAGCTGAGACACGGCCACGGCTGCCACTGACAGACCCCACCCCTGGCACCCCCTGCCCACGGCTCCAGCCCCACAGCTGCCCGTGCTCCTGTGCTCCCCAGCCCCACGGGTGGGCTCGGTGCTGTATGGACCATCTCGGTGTCCCCTCTGCCCCACAGCCCCATCATCCTGCCCGAGCAGGGTAAATCCCTGCCCAAATCCACTTGGGCTCCTCCAGCTCAGGACAGCCAGTGGTTATTTCAGCCCTGGATCCAGCCCCCTCACTGGGCATGAGCTCCTGGTTTATCCACCTGATCCAGCCTGTCCTGTGGGCTTATGGTAAACTGACTTTATTCCCAACCAAACAGCCTTTCATTTGGCACTTTTCACTGTCCACCTAGCCCAGCATCCTGCCTTTGACAGCAGCCTGCAGGGGATGCTGAAGGAAAAACATGGGAAACTAATCAAAGAGGTGGTCCTCCCCCACCACATCCTCCCAGCAGCACCGGATTTTCCTGTTACAGAAAAGAAGAAATTTTCTGCCTAAATCTGCAATGGGATGGGTGACCCAGCACTGGAAATAGCTCAAGTGCTGCATCTCAGAAACCACTCCCAGCAGGAAAGGCCCCCAGTTCCCAGCCCTGTTTAACACTGTTTCCTGTGGGTTTGCATGGCACTGACCTGCTGCCACATGGAAAGCACAGGGGGATCCAGGAGCTCCTGGCTCCCAGCTTGATTTGCCATCTAGTGACAGGCAGCCTGAGCCCAGAGCCAGGGAACAGAAAATAAAGCTCCTGTTTCATCTCAGCTCGGCTCATTTCACGTTGGTAATAACTTAATCAGTGCATAATCCCCTGAACCTCTCCCGTTTAGCTTATCTCTGCCATTCCACTCACATATGCTTTCCAAGAGGCAGCACATATTTAATCCAGGGAGCAGCAGGAGCCAGGGGGGCAGCACTGGGAAGGAAAGCAGCTGCTGGAAGTCGTGGGGGCCATCAGGAGGCTACCAGGTGGTCATCAGGAGGCTATCAGGTGGCTATCAGGGTTTAGGGACACCTCATGTACCTCCAAACAGATGCACAACCAGTCTTGCAAAGCCAGAGGGAGTTTGGGCTCCCCTATCCTGGCACAGCCAGGGCAGTGGGATGGATCAGGGCAGCCCAATGGAATTGTGTGCCAGGGACAGCCCTGGCATGGGCTTCTCCTCACCTCGGGAGCTGAGTAGGTGAAACAGCAGAGAGGCCTCAGTGTGGGGTCTGGGTGGTTTGGGTGTTCATACAAGAGCGGGGTATGGCCATGGGGGGATCAGGGCACCGTGACAGCTCCTGCTGCTGCATCCATTCCATCCCCACTGCCCCAGGAATTCACCCACTCTTCAGCCACAGCTCCCAGGGGTTGGGAAAGTTGCTTCCCAGGGAAGGCTGCACTGGCACTGCAGCTGAACTGGAGGCCCCAGCCTCTCACACTCCTCAGCCAGGCTCTCACCCCGGCGGGCGCTGGGATAACATCGGATCACTGCGGCTCTGTCAGACACATGGCACACGAGCACAGGGTTATGAGCAAACCCTTAACCCCTCCAAGAAGCTGCCACTGGGCCAGACCTCACCAAAGGCTGCCTTCCACACTTGGCTGAGATTATCAGCAGCCCATTATTTTTCCTGACGCTATCTAACAAAACAGAAGAAACACTGAGAGCCAAAGCAATTCTTCAAAAAAAGAGGACAAACCAACATTCATGAATGGAAAGTGGGCTCTTCCTCAAACATCCCCTCAGTTCCATGGCAAGAAGTCAGTGAGTTCTGCTTGAATCAGTGGGTGCCTGAGGCCCTGTGCAGCCCCAGACCTTCCTGGGTGGGTTTGGGGACACAGGAGCCACCTGTGCCCATCCCACCAGGAAGGTCCCCTAGGTGATATAAGAGCCACAGCCTCTCCCACTGAAGAGCAGCAGCACTAATGAGTCTGCAATTAAAAGATGCTATGGGGGTAAAGAAGTGGAATCTTGGAACCTGGAGCTCTGTTTTGACAAGGACTGCCTCAAACACAGCTGAGCGAATCAGGAAAAGGCACAGCCAAGGGAAACAGAACAGCTCTGACATGGGTTTAAATCAGAAAATCCACTTTATTTGTCCATAGACTGAGCCCATTCCAATGACATCCCTCCCACAGCTGGGCTGTGTTCATGGGTTGCAGCCCCCATCACCCTCTGTCCATCCCAGGGTTGACCATCCCCCAAACAGGGATTTCTACTCAGAATTTACTTCTGCTCTGACATCCCAGCATGGCCAGCAGGTCAGAGCTTAGACCTTAAACTCAGTTTTTGAGTGAGACAGTGATTACCAATCCCTCTTGGATGCTCCTGCGCTGCAGTGGGTGAGGCTGGAGGTCAGGAAAAGGACCTGACCCGATCCCTACAGCTGGCCAGAAAGGCTGAAACCACAACCACCAGATTCCCGTGGGCAGAATCCATCCTGGCCTGGGGATTTGGATCCCAGCTTGTCTGGGGGGTCAGGTTGTGATAGTTTGCTAGGAAGATGCAAGGGTTGTGCCTGGGAAGGCAGTGGAGGTGGAGAATTCCTGGCAGTCCAGGCAAGGATGCTCGCTCCAAGACTTCATCACAGAAGCACAGCTAACAAGAGAGGTCTGCTCCCAAATCACTAATGAGGGGTGAGGATATTCCCACCAGGGCACAAATCCATTTCCCTGTGGATGCCAGAGTGGCCAGCAGCAACTGGAGCCACAAGCTCCAGTTCTGCACCCCACCACCAGCCTGCCCCTGACATTGTACTGCCTGAATTTCCCTGACAACTCCCCTCCTCTCACTGCCACCATCCAATTCCCAGCTGGTTTCCAGCCACTGCAGGATGCTTTCCAATAGCAAAGCTCTGAGCTTTGCTGTCAGCAATGAGCAGAGATATTCCTTCTCAAATAAAGAAATAAAAAAAAAAATCCCAAATACCAAGTAAAAATAGTAATAATAAAAAAAAATAAAATCCCAGATTTCTCTGCATTATCTTTTGAGGCAGCCTGCCAGAAAGCAGAACTGTGGCAGGACACATCTCACCCAGCCCTCCCCTGGCACTCAGAGATGAAGTCGAAGCTCTTCCGCATCAACACCTCTCTCTTTCTGTTCCTGGTCTTTGTTGTTGTTGTTTTTCCAGCAGCTTAAGGAAGCTAACAACGAACTGACGTTTTTGGCAATGATTATTACATCTCTTGGAAAGTGTGTCTCATTAAAACCAGAAGAAAGGAGGAAAAGTGCTGAAGCGACTCTTTTAAAAATGCAAGAGCTGGGATTAATTTGTTAACCTGAAATGGAGACTCAGACTGCCACCCAGGGCTGCTCAGCTGCCTGAGCCAGGCACGGGGATCCAGAGGGTGGAGGAGATCCTGGCCAGGACCTCAGGCTTCTCCCTAAAGCCAGTGATGAAGATCCTCATGGAGACTTTACCCACAGCACTGCAGGCAGTCAGGATAAACCCAAACCCACCTTAACAGCACAAAAACCCAGTAAACCAGTTCTGAAAAATTAAACTGTGCTGAAAACCACTTTCTTTTAGAAAACAAAGCCACCAAGCTGCTAGTTAGAAAGGAAAAATATTCTAATTTCCCCTGATAATCAGCAATGATGGGACAGCAAATACAAGTAAACCCCACCGACAGATTAATTGGAGTTTGTTAAAGTATGACAGGGTTTTGACAGTTTTCCTGAGTGGCAGCCACGCTTTCCAGGCAATCACTGAACTGACAGAGGTTTTCATAGCAGCACTAGGAAATAATGATTGCAATCAATCATATCTTACCGGATTCCATGAGACACGCTGGTAAACACAGCAGAGGGAGGAGAATTATTTATGGGCCTTCTGAAGAGCATGCAGCTAAGTAATTGGATGAAATCAGGGGAAAAAAGGAAAGCAGCCCCTAAGGGTGATGTCTTGTGGAAGAAGGAATAGCTTCTCTGTGAAACCAGTGGAATAGTCAACAGCCAATATGCTCAAATTTGGATGGGTTGAAACCCAAGGGAATTCACTAACGATGCTCTTGTCTTTAAAATACCTCCTTGGAGTGAAAGCAGCAGTGAGCAGGCGTCACCCCCTGCCAGCACCTGCCACTGGAACCTCCAGAACAGCAGCCAGGATGAGCATTCAGGGGAGTTTTGCTGCGTGTGCCAGCCTGAATTCAAAGGTGAAGTTCAGCAGAGCTCAATGATCCTTGTGGATCCCTCCCAGTTGAGGATATTCTGTGTTTCTACCATTCTCTGACCATGCAGGAGTGGAGAGCAGCTGAGAGGAGCATCCCTAGAGCAGGGGACACTCTGCTGGGCAGTCCAGCACAGGGCTAGGACCAGTGAGAGTGATGTGAAGTGCTGCTGGCAAAGCCCAGACCACAGGGAAAGGAGCAGACAGAAAGGAGTTTCCTTGTGTTTTCCACATTTTGGGATCTTGAGCATCCTCCACCACTGCTCACGTTGGGAGCCCTCTCCACCCAGCCCTTCCCAAGCACGGATGGAGTGTGCAGGATGCCACCCTGTCACACAGGCACAGAATGTTTTTAAAAGGAGTTAAACTCCTCAGGGAAATAAAAAGAGCACTTTGGGTCATGTCCCCCTGGTTTCAGCTGGGGTGGAGTTAATTTTTTTCTCAGTGGCTGGTGTGGGGCTGTGTTTTGGAATTGTGCTGAGCACAGGGGTGATTTTACAGAGATGTTTTTGTTGTTGCTGAGCAGGGCTCACACAGAGCCAAGGCCTTTGCTGCTTCTCACTCTGCCAGGCTGCTGAGGAAGCTGGGGGTGCTTGGGAGGTGACACAGCCAGCACAGGGGACCCAGACTGACCAAAGGGATATTCCAGACCCTACAACATCATGGCTGGGGTAAAAAATGGGGGAAGAAGGAGGAAGGGGGTTCTGGTATTAGTTAGTGGGTGGTGAACAATTGTACCATGCATCACTTGTTTGTTTCATTTTTGTTTCACTATAATTTACCATTATTAATGAATTTTCCTTTTT